TCAACTCAAAGGCAGAGGATCCGTTTCCAGGTGTTTTCGAGATCCACAACAGAGCGATCTTCTGAGCAGATGCAGCTCAGGCCAGGAAGGCGCTGGGACGTCGGCAGGCGTTGACGAACAACATGCCAGGGGCAATCGCCGGGGGTCCGGTGGCTCCCGATCCCAGGTCAAAGGCGGACACTTCTGCGGGATCTCGCTCGTCGATCCGGCCATCCCCGTTCGCGTCGCGCAGGGCGTAGGTGATACCACCTGCAGACCAGTTGATGTAGACAGTGCCTCGCCCGTCAATGGTCGCACCCGAAAAAAGGTCGGGCATGCAGGGCTGCAGAAACGTGGAGCCGGCGGCTCCATGGTGGTGCCATGGTGGCGGCTCGAAGGTCCAGAGGGTTTCACCGTCCGTCACATCTACGGCAACAACGGTGCCCTTGAGGAGATCTGGGATTGGCAGTGGGGCCCCAGGAGGACCGCCCTGCCCTACGATGGCCGCCGTCCTCCCCGGATGGCCGTACCTAAGTCTGGGCTCGAGCCTACTGTGAACCCAGGCCCAAAAAAAGACCCTGACCCCGATCTCTAATCGCCTAGAACTTAAACGAACTCAAACAAACACCCTGAGCACGACCTAGAAGGAACCAGTTTTCAGCCTGAGAAGCACCCTGCCCACGGCGGGCGCGTTGTGGATCTCTTGTGGGAAGCTCTTAGCCCAGAGGCGCTCCCCGGAGCTGAGGTTGAGTGCTTGAAGACCGCCAGAGCCGTCTTCCTTTGAGAACCCATTGAAGACCAGGCCTTCTCCACAGGCCACACCTCCTTGGCATTCCAGTCAACTTAGGAAGTTTCGACTCGGCCTCCGAACCCTGTTGCCTGGGAACTTCGTGTGCCTTTCGCCCGCTGCCGCTCCCAAAGCTGGCAGCAAACGGGGGAGTCAGGCTGTTGCGCATGTCGCGGCAGTGAGCTGCTGCTTTCGTTACGGTGTGCTGCCCTTGTTCCCACTTAAAGAGGGGACCCCCCAGAACCCCATGAAGCCTTGTAGAGGTCCCCACACACACTCGAGAAGAAGACCTGAAATCAAAAACGCACAACAGAACCATAAGAACCTTGACCCCTAGCTAACCTCAAAGTGTTCCACGAGAGGTTTCCAAAGGATTCCAAGGGCTCCAAAATTTATGCTTCCAAAGGATTCCAATGGGTTCCAGACAGTTCCAAACGGTTTTCAAAACGGCTCCGAGCTGCCGAGGGTGAAGGTGCCGGCGTTCTCTGGAGGACTCCGCCAGAGCTCCGAGCCATCCTGCGCGAGGATCTCTGCATTGAAAGGGATTCGAGGGATCCAGCTTCTCAGGGTTTAGGGTTTAGGGTTTTGGGGTTTAGGGTTTAGGGTTTAGGGTTTAGGGTTAAGGGTTAAGGGTTTAGGGTTTTCCATAGGTTAGGCCTGTATAGGGGCTTTGTTCTGGGCTTCAGGGGGCGGGGGGAGGGGGGGGGAGGGGGGGGGGGTTGAGGACTTGAGATCTGCAACTGTCATCACCCGGGCATTGGCAACTGAAGCACGCACAGCAGTGGGGGCGTCGCAAAGCCAGTTGTCTGGAATGGCTCCATCCACCAGAATCCGGCAGTGCGCAGCCACACCCCTCCCCTCACTCTACTGCCGGAAAACCAGACCCTGCAAATTCAATGCAGCCGGCTTCCTCCACACTCAATCGGTAGATGCCACCACTGGTGTCGCTGGTGACGATAGAATCCTTCGGCGAGAACACACAAATCCGTCATGAAAGCATCTTGGGAAATAAAAATGTTTCAGGCTTCGGATCCGAGTTAAGAATGCCACAGTGTAACGTACTACCATGCAGGTTATGGTAACAACAGAACGGCTATTGATGGCGCAACGAGCACGATGACGAGACTGAAAAAGTGTGATGCTGCTCAGGGCTCAAAAAAATGTTCGGGGTGCGGCCTTTTAGCGCCTAGGTTGCCAGGGCAACCACAGGCTACCATAAGCTATTTGCTAACGTGTCCAACAGTGTCACGAAAACAGGAGCACCTTTCCATAGCGATTGCGGACCCTTTTTCCTTCACCACTATTTGTAAACAAACTGCACGGCCACTTGCCAGTCAGCATTGCTGTTACGACACAAAGTAGGAGACCTTCTCTGGCAATTGCGGCAGAAAAGCCCCCAGAGGCCCCGAAACCCTTCAAGGGCCCGGGACTCTCCTCAAAAAGACATGGCGCCATGTTGATGGTGTGGGCGCCTCCGGCAAAAAAAAACAGCTTTGGGCATAGGGTTCAGGGTTTAGGTTTCATCTAGGGTTTACGGTGCAGGGGTTCAGGACCCTGGTTGCGCCCCCACAAGGAGCCTGGGGAGTGCGCGGAGATGTTGTAGGTCCACCTGAAGGCGCAAGGGCCCCTTCGAACCGAAAATCCCCAAACCGAAAAACCCATTAGGAGGAACAAAGGGAAAGCAGGGAAAAGAAGCAGTCGAAATAGTAGCAACTAAACAATAACAGGCAATCACACACACGATCTCGAAGGAAACCTAACCCTTGCCGCGACCGGAACTGCAAGACATCCCAGAGATCTGGATTGTTTAGCCCCTATATTTTAGGCCCCTCATTTAGGCCCCCCTAATTTAGGTCCCCTAATTTAGGCCCCTACAATTAAGGCCCCTATAGTTTAGGCCCCTACTCAACTTAGGCCCCTATAACTTAGGCTGCTCTAAAGGCCCCACCGGACGTCGCCACTTGCGCGCTCGAGCAGAGCCAGGCCATTCGCTCCGCCCGTCATGTGCCCCATGTCCTGAAGCTGCTCAAGAGATGTGGGGGTTTACCAACAAAAATAAATATAATAATAGTAATGATAATAATAATAATAATGATCATAATAATAATGATAATAATAATAATGATAATAATAATCATGATAATAATAATAATAATAATAATAATAATAATAATAATAATAATAATAATAATATAATTTAAGATATATATATATATGTAAAAAAGAAAAAGACAGGACCCCTCATATAGACCCCCAAAGAGTAGGATGCCCTTACAAAAAGGAAAGGAGCCCAATAAGGTACCCCCCCCCCGAATGTCGGAAACCCCCACATCGTGGGGTACGAGATCTGCCTTCAGAGAAAGAAAAAGCCTTTGAGAGGTAAGCAGAGGTTCACCATAGGGTACCACAACGTAGCTCGCGGTGGCGCTCACAGTATACGTGTCAGTAGGCAGGCTGTCCGTGAGCTTGCGAGACCAAACTTCCTTCCCTTCATCCATGGTCAGAGCCAGGACCACTCCATTTGCACAAGAGGTGTAGAGCACGCCCTCCAGAATGGTTGGGTTTTGGCAGTTGGACGCTCCGGTTGCCACCTCCCAACGCTTCCACCCGGCCTTCGTAAAAGAGAAGATCATTCCCTGGTCGCTGCCGGTATACACCTTCCATGGATGGAGAGCTGCACTACGTAACGTTGTGAAGAACACCCTGATGATTCCAAAACGGTGTTTTCCGTAAGGTAGATTTGTCAAAGATAGGGTCAATCTAAAGCTAACTGAAAAGCTGGGACACTCCGCACTTTTCCTGGGTTCGCTGCGGTGTGTGTCCTTGTTCGAGCCTGTCGTCGACAAGACGTTCCGAGGCTCTGGTGTGCATTCCACATGCACCTGGTGCACAGCTTCCTGTACTGCGTAGATGTTTAACACCCCGCCTTCGAAGCTGGTGAAAGTCGTTCCTAGACTAAGCTAGCTTCGACTGTCGTGGGCTAAGTTGATTACTCGGATCATTTTCCTTTAGTCAACAAAAGCGAAAACAAAGTTCCTGAAAGTTGCCAGTAGAACGGATACTCCATCCTTTGTTCTGGCTTCCTTCTCATCTTGAAACTCACTCCTCACTGCTCGACTGAGCGCTGCTGATCCTTCCTCTGCTTTTCCTTGCTTCTCTTCTCCTTCGCTTCTTTTCCTTCCTTCATCCTTTCACTTGCTTCTCCTGTTCCTTGCAGATCCTTCCTCCATCTTCATCTTCGCTGTCCTTGATCCACAAGTTCTGGTTCACGTCGTAGTAGAGCCATGCCTTTGTGGCCTGCACCCATTTCCACTGGAAATCTGATCCTTCGTAAGGAAAGATCGCATACAGTTCCTGAGCTCCTTCACTTCCTCCAACTCTGAATTGGCTTCGATCCTGTGGGCCAATCGCCTTGTCCTTCTTCTTTCCTTCTCCTGTGCTTCCTTCACTGTCTGTGGCCTTCTTGAGCTCTTCCTGAAGCGAGACGATCTTCCTTTTGTCTGAAGCTTGCTGTTCCTTCATTCCTCTGACCAACTCACGAAGCTGGGCCATCTCAATCCTCAAACTTTCATTTTCATCTTCCTTTCCTTCTCTTGTTGCTGGCTCTTGCTTCTTCCTCTCTGCTTCTGCTGCTGCTGCCTCTCGTCTCTTCCTTTCTGCTTCTGCCGCTGCTGCTGCCTCTCGTCTCTTCCTGTCCTTTTCCTCTGCTGCTGCTGCTGCCTGCCTTTTCTTCCTTTCCTCTTCTGCTGCGGCTTCCTGCTTCTTCCTTCCTTCTTTTGCTGCTGCTTCCTGCTTCTTCCTTTCCTCTTCTGCTGTGGCTTCCTGTCTTTTCCTTTCCTCTTCTGCTTCTTCCTTCTCCTTCCTGGCTTTCTCCTCGGCTTTCCTCTTCCTGATTCTTTCTCGCCTTTCGCGTTCCTTCTGCCACTTCTTCTCATCCTTCTCTGCCTGCTTCTCTGCTTCCTGTGTGGCTCCCTCTTCCTGTGGTGTAACTCCTGCTGCTTCAGCGACTGCTGCGCTTGCCTGCTTGTCAGAGCTGCTGCTCGCTCCTGTGGCTGTGTTCTTGGTGCTTCCTTTTCCTGGTCCTTTTCCTTTTCCTTCCTTTCCTTTCTGGTACTTGTAGACGTAGTCGACGCCAACTTCGACCTTCTCGCCCGTGATCCTGTGCTGCTTGTACACCTTGCCATTCTCCACGTAGATCTTGTACTCGGTGTCGTCGTAGGGGTACGCAAAACCTTTTTCCTTTTCCTTCTCCTCTTCTTCTCTTTTCCTCAGCTCCTCATTCACTTTCCTGATCTTCTCTTTCCTCTCCTTTTCCTTCCTCTTTTCCTCCTGCGTTGATGTAGTAGACGCCGACGAAGATCTTGGTGTGATAGAACTCGATCCTTCTTCTTCTTCTTCTTTACTTCCTTCTTCTCCTCGACCATGTCCTGTTCTTCGTAGCTCTCTTTCCATCTCTGCTCCTCTTTCTTCTTCTTGAAGCTTCCACCAAATCATTCCTTTGATCTCTTCTTCTTCCTTCTCGTACTCGGCGATCTTGGTCTCCAAAGCTTCTATCCTTTCCTTCAAGTGCCTGAGCAACTCCACATCTCGCAGGTGTTGGTCCTCAATCTGTTCCTTGAGGCTTGCCTGTTCGCGACGCTGTTCTCTGAGCAACACGTTCGTGGTTCCTTGGGCTTCTTTCAACTGGTTCAACTGAGAGGTGAGCTCTCTGAACCAACGTTCCTTCTCGGAGGCACTCGGTTCCATAGCTGCTACTTCCTTCTCTACAGCTACTGTCTCTTCCTTTTCAAGGTTCCTAAAACAGAGGTCCTTCACTCGAGGCATCGAGCTGCAAATGTTTCCTACCCCAAGCTGTTCCTGCAATCCTAATGCACATGCACTCGTGTCACTGCACATGCCGACATGTTCCTGCACAGTTCCTACACATGTACTGCACGACTGCAAAAGACATGTTCCTGAAGCTACTTCAACCTTTGAGCAACCTTCCAAACTTCCTGAAAGCAAAGAGAAAAACAAAGCTGCAAATGCGAAGTTTCCTTTGGACTTGATTCTCTTGACTGTGGCCTTAGCTTGTTCCTGCTGTCGATGTTCTTGAAGCTCTTCAATTCCTACTGGTTGGTTTTGTTCGTCCTTGAAGCCTAGCCAATGCATCAACAACTTAATGCGTTTTCCTGAAAGCGGCTTAGTTCCTATATCAGCAGTGTTATCCCTGGTACCTACCGGGTGGACACTAAGAATTCCTTGTTTGTGGAGGTCCTGGAGAAAGAGGGTCCTAATCTGCAAATGTTTCACTCTTCCTACTCCCTGCCTGGTAATGATACCACGAGCAGCGGAAGAATCTAGATGCAAATGCACTACGCACTTCCTACAGGTGAGGAATTCTATCGCTTCCTTGAGCAACAAAGAGTCACTAGCTGAACTAGCTGCGGCGTAATATTCTGCCTCTCCAGAAGACAGAGAAATACTCCTTTGGGTCCTAGAGAATGCATAGATCAGTTGAGAATCCAGAAACACAGTTCCTGAACTTGTGCTGCGACGACTGTCTTTCTGTCCTGCCCAATCTGAATCGGAGTATACCTCCAACAAGTGATGTTCCTTGGGTTTGACTTGGGAAAAGTCATAGGTTCCGTTGCGAATGCTCTCGTTGAGGTTTGACATTCCTCGAGGTGTTTTCCTATACGTGCAATGGTAACCATCTGTCTTTGTCATGTACTGCACAACATGAATCAACTGCTTCTTAGCTGCAAATGTTGGCAATGACATCTTGGACGCTAAACCTCTTACTGCGAACTGCAGATCCGGCCTGTCCTGACAAACATATAGGAGGATTCCTACACACTTCCTAAACGAAGCTGCTTGTTCCTGGTCAAGAGGGTTTGTGTTGTCTACTGCCTGGCTCTCCTGTGTGCACGGCGTCGGCTTTGATGCCTTTCCTGTCAACTTGAGTTCTTCACGAAGTTTTCCAAGATACTTTGGGTCACTGTGAATGTGAAGTTCATGATTGTGATACGAGTACTTTCTTTTGAGAAATCTCACCGTCTGAAGCGACTCGCCAATAGCAAGTTCCTGCGCGGTAAGAAACGGTCCTTCAATCTTCAGCTCGTACACTCGTCCTAGACTCTTTAGTACAGGGTCGACATGATGACTCTTTCCTGCTGCTTGAATGTCATCAACATGAACCACAAGAATGCTTTTCCGTGAGTCTCGAAACAGAGTTGGACAAGCTACACTTCTCTCAAAGTCTTGTTCCTTAAGCGAATCACTAAAATGATCCGACCAAAGCAAAGCTGCGTCTCTCTGTCCTGGCAACACTCGGAGCAAGAGTAGTCCTTCCTGAAGACAAGAGGGATCAGTGTCCTGAAACAGCTCCACATATTCCTTCGGGAATTCACACGCCGTTCTAGTCCTTTGGGGTACTTGCAAAAACGCATCTTTGACGTCAATGCTGTAGACTGAAAACTCTTCCTGAAGAGCAATCACGGGGACTAACCTTGTGAGGCTTGCTGACGTGGCTGGTGAGAACACATCGCTTCTGTGTTCAGTTCCTTTAAATTCACGAGCCACTAGCCTAGCCCGTCTTTTCCAAGACCCTGACCTGAACCGCCAATCGAACACGAATTTGGTGGTGAGCCATTTTATGGGTTCCTGTTCACTCTCTTCTCTCTCATTCTCTCCATCGTCTCTCTTGCGCCAGCCAAGTTCCTCAAGCGGTTTCCTAACCAGTGCCTGCATTCCTGAAAGTCTCTCCATCTCGGTGATCATGGCCTCTCTGTCCTTGGTCTTGAGCTCTTCATCTGAAAGCTCTGGTGGTCCTGCGTCCTCATCGTTGAAAACTCTCTCTCTCTCCTCTTCGTCTTCTTCTTCTTCATCTCCTATATCTGAGTATGTGTCCTCCCAACAGATGTCGTCAAGTCCTGGCTCAGGGAGAGGTTCGTCGTTGTGCTCAAACACGCGTCCTGCGTTAAACGGTGGAAATTTCCTCTTCGGCGACTCGTCGGTCCTTGGGATTTTGGACGAAGTTCCTACGTCTTCATACTCATGCTTCTGACTGCTGCCGGTGCTCTAGGCAACAAAAGTTCACTACCTTGACTCTCTTGCTTCTCTTGGTCAGTGCTCATGCTGTCACTACCTGCTTCATCAGATTCTGGTCCTCTGTTTTGCAGATGACTCAGCTGACTTGTAGGCGTTGCATCACTGCCTGCCTCATCAGGTCCTGGGTCTATCCACTCAGGTGCTGCAGGTTCTGCTTGCAGTTGTTCTTGTTCCTTTGCCTTCTTTGCCATTGCATGAAGGTTCGTGTTTCTTGGGGTGACTGTTCCTAACGGTTTTGGTGTACTCGCCCCGCCTGCGATGACAGGTGTCTGTATTCCAGGAGTAATGGCTCCAATGCCATGTTGATCTCCTAGAGGCTCCACCACTGTCACAGGCGCTGGTGTTCCTGAGGGGCCTGGTAGGTTCTTCCTAGGAACTACGCGAGTTGTGAGCGTCGTGTGCTTCACTTCCCAAGTGTGGATTCCTACACTAGTTAGTGCTTCCAGGTCAAAATGATGGGGGCATCTCTTCACAGATCTACTGGTCTTGATGCCATCCATGTGCCACGTAATGAAGAGGTTGTTGTCAGTCTTTCCTAAGAAAACTCCTCTCAGCCATTGAGGGT